TTTGTATAACGCCTGGGGGTTGTGGAACATGCGTATGTAATATTGTTTTCCTAAACAAAGTGCACTATCGTACTCTGCTGTATTTTGTTTTCCCCTCGACATCGCGTACGGAAATGGTGCAACACCAAACAGCCAATCCGTAGGAGGGATGGCACGATTTTCTTGGCGGGAAGGCGAGCGCGACCCGAAAGTCAAGTAGCGAACATTGTGTTAGGAGGATTCAAGGGACCCACTTGTTCGGGCAGTCAAAATGGGTCTCGAATTTTTCTGTGTCACACCTCTTGAACTGCGCTGTATATGGTAGGTTCCTCGATAAGTTTCCCACTAGCTCTCAAGCTCAGGTGATGGCACAGCAGCAGTGGTCGAAAAAGAGGACATCCCTCGTCTATGCTACTCGAACTAAAAAATGATGTTGAAAGTTTCAGGGGGGTGTTCAAATATTTGCAGGCAAAAAAGACGGGTGCTATGTATATCCACTTTAATTAAGCACCCATGGGCGTTCAATTTTGCGGGGTGCTGTATACGGGGTGCACTGGCAATGTAGACACCCCCGGGTTATTTGTATGCCCCAAACAGCGACCTCTGCACGGCACAAGGAACGAGCCCGCCAGACCTACGAGGTCGTCCACATGGCACCTGTACGCCGAACTGCGCTCTCCGTCGGGCAGAAGATTGCAATCTGTCAGTACGCCAAGAAGAATTTGACCTTGCAGCTCGAAGACATTGGGCGATGGTGCCACACCAGATACGGCCTGTGGCCGGATCGCAGCACAGTCGACCGATTTCTGCAAACAGAACAGAAGTGGTGGGCAATCGGGCCCGAACGCGCCAAGTTCAAAAGGGTGTGTAACCCACACTGGCCTTTACTTGAAGCTCGACTTAAGAGCTGGCTGAAAAGCAGAAATAGTGCTAGCTTGCCAGTCTCGACGCCACGAATCCTGCAGCGCGCGATAGTGCTAGCACCCGAATGCAACGTGCCTAGCGAGTTCAAAGCTTCTGTTGGATGGGTTCAGAAAGCATTGCGCCGAATGGGATTCAAGTGGCGAAAGATGAGCGGCGAGGCAAAGTCTGCCGACGAGGGCGCCGCTCTGACCGCGCAACTACATTTCCCGAGGCTGTGCGACCAGCTTGGCCTGACCCCGGAGAACCTGTTCAACTTCGACGAGACCTCCGTCTACTACAGTCTCCTACCCGACCACATATTCTGCATCGACCCTACCCCAGGCAAGGTCTGCAAGGACCGGCTTACAGTCGCGCTGCTGGTGAATGCGGACGGCTCGAAGCCTTTCAAGCCGCTCATCATTCACAAATTCGAGCAGCCCCGTTGCTTTGCAAAGCATAAATTTGACCCTGCGAAGTACTGCTACTGGCGTGCGAACACCTCCTGATGGATGACGGCAGAGGTAAATTCCTCTCTTTCCATCGCTTGCATGCAACGTGCCGTAATCTGTTCGATGAAAAATGTGGCGTGCGAGAATATAAATAATCAGCTAACAAGACAATCATCCCATACGCCCCGCGCAGGTCTTCACGGCGTTCTTCGAGCACATTAACGCGTGCTGCATGGCGGAAGGACGACGCATCGTCGTCATGCTCGACAACGCGTTGAGTCACCTGCTCCAATCCCCTCTCGCCACGTCAGCCAACATCCGCGGGTCGGACGCGCGCGCTCTCGCACGTGCGCCTCGTGTACTTGCCGCCGAACACGACCCCGTTCACTCAGCCTCTCGATCAGGGCCTCATCGCAGCTCTGAAGGCACGTTACAAGGTGGAGTTGCTTCAAGCAGTTCTCGCCCAGTGGCAGATCCCTGGCGTCACCGTCGCGCTGTTCAGAATTGGAAGCCCGAGATGTGGCAGGTGGTAACCTGGGTGTCGGATTCGTGCCTTCGCTTGGATACCGCGACCATCCAGAAGTGCTTCTGGAGGACGCGAATGATGCCCGCCAGCTGGCAGCCATTGCTACCTCTCCTCGGCGCCACTTCTGAAGAGCAGGAGCCCAGGCTAGAGCATGAGATCGAGCCGGTGCAGCAGATCATGAGCGCCCTGCCATTCGGCCCGGACGATATGATTTCCGTCGCTCGCTTTGTCACCGCCGAGCGTAACGACGAGACGAGCGAGCCGAGCGGGGTGGATCCGTTTGAGGTGGAGCCGCTTGGCTCAGCCCAGCGGGATGCGTGGTGGGCGAACGCGCCTCCCCCCCCCCCCCCCCCCTCCCGGCTCCGAACGACTCAGCGCGGAACCGGCACAATCTCTTGCGCATGGCGACAGAGATGCTAATTGGCTACGCCAAGTCCATTGGCTTAGCGCCGCGCGATCTACGAGTGTTGTTCGACATCCACAAACCTGCGGTTATTGATCGCCTGGAGCGCGCATCCCCTCGCCTGGACACTAAGAATGTGCCAGGTGCGGCGGAGGAAGAGTACCTCAGTCATGTCCGCGAAGCCACTGCTGTAATGACCGGATATCCAGACGCGGGCGAGTGGATGACCTTTGGCGCGCAGCTCGCTACCTATCGCGAGTACTAGGCGGTTAAGTGCTGTGCATGGATAGGCGGTTAATTATGCAGTTCGGGTTTGGCGTTTGTATGTGGAGGCGCGAGAGGCCTTGTGCTCTGCTTATGACTTTAGCGGCGAGGTAGTTGTGCTGTGTTGCACGGAGTTGGGTAGTGTCGGTCAACGTAAGCATGGTTTTCGGTCGAAGTCTTATTTCGAGTCTAGTCTAGTGTCGAGTGCTGTCTTTGTCGAGGCACTTTTGTTTGTTGCTAATTGCAGCCCATGATTGTCACATGCGAAATCAATTCTGATATTCTCTTGAAACGTAGAGTTGATACACACGTGGAGAGGCTTGCAACGTGGCTATGTTTACTCAGTCGCAGCATACGCCAGTCAAGCCACCCATGCACGGTACACAAAAAACAACGTCCCATTTCCTGGGGAAACCCCATAGTCCACGTTGCCCCTACCGTACGGCCAGTATTCGCTAAAAGGGAAATCTGTCGCGTCGTCCCCCGCGTGCTAAGTGAATATGAGTTGTACCGTAGGTTTCTTCTACTGTACAGTATGGCTCGACAATGGGTATTATGAACACCATCGCCTTACCCAACCAATTTGCTATCGGATGGAATTCCAACTGGAGCCCTCATTAGAGTTCACATGATTCCACGAAACCCGCCGTATATTCGAACTTCGACCAGCGTGTACACGCATTTGTACTGCCCGCAGGCACGAGTTCTTGAAACCCCCTGTCTGACGTGCGCTTGCTGAGCCAGCTTGTCCAGCTGGCAATCTTTGGAGGTACACAAACAGTACGAACGAGTCTCGCGTACGACTACGGTACGGCTGTACAAGACCCAAGGCATACGAGTCCACATCAGCACATGCACCGTCCATCAAGCGCACAACACGAGGCCTGCGTAAAAATCCCCACCGTGCTTTCGCGTCGGCTCGGCGCGTGACAGCAGGAGGCCGCATCGCATCGCGTGTGAGCGACATTGTGATTTGTGAAACAGGTAAAAAACTGCAGTGGCGGTGGCAAGCCGCGTGGCACACCCTCTAAAGGCCAATCAATGCCTAGGAGGAGAGATGCATAGCAAACCCACGTTTATTCGTCCTTTCGATGTATCCTGTACTGCAGCAATCGCGCGACTTGTGTGAGGACGCGCCCACCACATTTCTACAACGAGGTCTAGAACCGAAACCGTTTCGGTTTATGGGTTCTCTGTAACTGCCTTCTGAAGATTTATTCAGGTAACGAATGCATAACCCTTTAGTAATTTAGTACGGTTCATTCTGCAACGTGTAGTCTGAATTTTCCCCTGCTGCTGATCATCTTCCCCCTCTACACCACATGCAGCTCAGAATTCTGTCTCGGTGTCTAGTCGTGTCACCGCTTCGCGATTTAGCAGGGCTTACTCATAAGTCTCCGACTCGGATTTCGTAGGTGAAACTGCCATTTTATCTTGGCCTTCAACTCCCTTCCTTGCCGCACCTGGTCCCATAATGGCCTGATTCCTACATGGGGTACCTCTGGATGGCATTTTTCAGAGGCATGAAGGGCTTGAGCCGACGAATGCCAATTCGCTTAGGGCCTGTCCAGCGCGTTATTATACTATTCAGTTGGCGTGACAGGAACAGAATTTAGGTGTGGTAACCCGAAATCTGTGTCTTTTAAGATCCCCTCAAAAAGTGCGCGGTCTTAGCGGAGGCTCTAGAAGTGTGCCAGAAATCGTGTTGCGCACGTCTCGAAAGCGGCTGGAAATCGTGCCCGAAATGAACTCCCTCCAGAAACGACAAATCATGGCTGGCGAAAGGTAAATATACGACTTCGTCATATACTGGCAGATTCGTCAATGCCGTGGCATAAACAGCGAGGCATCGTTTTCCAGGCTCGTAATACCGTAACTTTATTTCTTTCGCCAGGATCTTTTGTTTCTCGCTGCGCAGAGCATTTGTCGTGTCAAAGGCTGGACACAAGGCCGAGGCAAGCATGCTCTCATCTACATTCCTCGTAACATTTTTCCGGGCATGTACAGAAGACGTAAAAAGCACGTGTTAGGGCGAAATTAACGCGCTAGACATGCCCTCAAGCAGCCCAAACGCAACTACCCCACGTATTTCCACAGAGCCTTTCTGCAGACAGCCACCCTCGTCCAGCTGGACATTGCTCTGTATGCTTCCAAGGGTTGCTGGCTACACAGCCCCGTAACAGCTCGTGTGCTGTACGTCCATGTAGACACCTCCACTCGACGAATCAAAGCCCGAGGAAATTTACTTCTCCGCCCTCCTCCCTCCCTCGCCCCATCCCCTCCCCTCTTACAAATCCAAGGACAAGTTGTCCGAACACAGCCCAACGAGATGCAACCCACCCAAACCATGTGAACCGAACCCAAACGCCGCAAAGTTCTGGCGAGATTCCCTTGCACAGCCAGGGGGTGTCATAATGATATGAGAGCAGAGCAGACAGGCTTCCCATCATGGCCCGAAATCCGCCCTTCCCAACCCAAGTGCACCATCGTGACAGAGCCGTGCAGGATAGCAGCAGCGAGCGCAATCCCGCGAGCTCGCAACGCAGCAACACATCCCACGGCAAAGCGGCATCGCAAAGCAGCGCGGCATCGCAAACCTGCGAAAATTGGGCTACGCAATCGATGATATTTCCGGCTCCTTGCGTCATCATCGCCCGCCGCGCGTTGCGGGGGTCGGCCCAAATTGCTACCACTGGCAGTAGTAGTAACTTGTATGTAGAAGGTTTCTAATAACGCGGTGGTTTCTGTTTGCTCGAAGTAACGGCCCTTTTTTTTATAGTTCTAGCATTTTTGCGATGCGCGATCCGATCGTCACGAGGATGTGGTAGGGGCTAGTATTAGTGGCAGTACTACTGCTAGTAGTACCGTACTACTAGTCCTAGTACAGCTACTAGTCATAAAAGGACTACTACTACAATCATTGCGGCGGCATCTACAAAGTGGGTGTGACGCCGCGTCGGTCGCGCGGCGGCAAGCCAGCGCACCGCGGCCGCAGATTCGCAGCCGCGCCAGCAGTGGCCGAATTTCGAGTCAAAACGAGCTCAAGTCCTCGGAACTTATATTGCGTACTAGTCTACGCAGTAATAACTCCGAACTCTAGTAAGACTACTGAAACGAGCCCTGATCTGCCACTACTACTACTAATAGTACTACTACTTCCTAATTCTGCCTGGACGTGAGCACTTGAACTTCAAAATCGCCGGATGATCCGGTGATCCGGGAGACGCGGTGGTGATGGAAATCGACAACTTGAAGACACGCGGCGGCGGCGGCGGCGGCGGCGACCGGCATGCCGCCGCTATAGCAGATCCTGCCGCAGCCGCCCCTGCCGTTGCCACTGCCGGTGCTGCCACTGCCGCTGCTAGTACCGTCACTGCCACTGGCACCCATCCGCCTGTTGCTCCTGCTGCCGCTGCAGACGCCGCCCCTCCTGCGCCTGCTGCTGCTGCAGTTGTCCCTCCTGTTGTTCAGCAGCAGCAGCAGATGGCTGGGCGGCCCAGCCAGCCTGTGGCTGGCAATAGCACCTCCGTTTGTACTTCTAGTTGCACCAGAGTAGTACGCAAAACCATGAGCTCCGTCGGAAGAAAAGATCGGCAGGCGCGAGGGGAGCATGTGGGAAGTGGGGCCACTACTAGTGGGGCAGTAAGTAGAGCAACGCTGAAGAGGAAAAGGGAAGGGAGTGAGGGGGTGAGCGGAGGGGAGGGGAGAGAAGTGGAGGAGGGAGAATTGGTGGAGGAGGATGGGGAGAGTGAGGGAGAGGATGGGGCGGCGCAGGGGAGATTGGGCGGAGAGGGGATGGCGGAGGGGAGGGGGATGGGGAGAGGGCGGACGGGGAGAGAAGTCACCATGATGCTGCCGGCGCTAGGACAGGTGCAAGATGACAGGGGGGAAGGGGACGAAGGAGAGTGGAGGAGGAGAAGAGGGTTGAGTGGAAGGGCGGTGAGGGAAACCGGAGAGGGAAAGGCGAGGGTTGCGGAATGGGGAGGTGGTTCGGAGGCGGGAGCAAGGGCGAAGGGGGAGGGGAGCGGAGCGGACAAAGCGGAAGCGGAGGAGGTGGGTGTGGGGCGAGAGGGGGCCGTGGCAGCGCGGAGGGTAACAGAAATAGCAGCGCTTGCACCAGCAGCAGTCTTAGCAGCAGCAGCAGCAACAGCAGCAGCACCAGCAGCAGCACCAGCAGCAGCACCAGCAACACCAGCACCACCACAAGCAGCACCACCACAACCAGCGGCATCACAATTGGTAGCAGCAACAGCAGCAGCCGCCGCAGCACCACAACCACCAAAACGACAGCTGGCATTAGCAGCCAAAGGGACAGCAGTGCAAGCAGCAGCAGCTGGAGCAGCGTTGATAGTCTCACCAGCAACGACACCACTATCACCAGCAGCAGCAGCAGCACCACCACCACCACCAGGGGCACCATCAAAAGCAGCAGCTGTTGCAGCAGCAGCGGAGGCACGAGCAGGGCTCATTCACGAGGAGAGCCAGAGGAGGGAACCCCCTCCTCCCGGCACGGAGCTGCCCACAGAGCTGCAGCAGCAGCTGCCACATCACGCCTTCTCTTCCCCTCCGCTCCAGGCTCATCCCTCACACCATCACTTTCCCGATGCTCCCCCCCATACCTCCCCCCATGCCTCCCCCCATACCTCCCCCCATACGTCCCCCCATACCTTCCCCCATACCTCCTCCCGTCCCTCCGCTCACCTCTCCGCCAACACCTTTCCCCATCCCTCGGCCAACACCTTTCCCCATCCCACCGCCCATCCTCCCCCCATCCCCCTTCCCACCCCTCCTCACATCACTGGACTCCCCACTCCGAACCAGTCACTCATCCATCCTTCCATCTTTCCGCCTATCCTCCCCCCATCCTCCCCCCCATCCTCCCCCCCATCCTCCCCCCCATACCTCAGCCCACCACTCAATGCATTCTCCCAGGCATCACTCCCCCTATTCCCCCCCCGCGCATCACCCCCCCCCACATCACCCCTCCGCGCATTCCCCCCGCCCCTCAGCGCATCCTTCCCCCGCCCATTGGATCCAGACTGCCCATATCCCCCTCCCTTTATCCGGCTCTCCGATCCTCCTGCTTGTCCTGCAACCGTCCACCCCCTCTCAAAACGCCCCCATTCATCCCTATTCATACCCTTATCCACACTCTTACCCACAACCTTACCCACAGTCCTACCCACACCCATCCCACCCACCGCTCCCCTCGTCATTTCCCTCCTCTCTTTCCTCCTCACTACCCTCTGCGCACCCCTCCGCACTCCCCCCTTCTCATCCCCCTCCTCCCCCTCCACTCCCACCTCCTTCGGTCCCAATTCCTCCTGTTGTCACCGCCACCGTCCCTCCCACCTCCTACACACTATCCCCGCCTATGCCGCTCTCTATGCACCAACTCCCGTCACTGTCAGCAGCAGCAGCAGCAGCAGCAGCAGGAGCAGCAGGAGCAGCAGCAGCACCACCACCACCACCACCAGCAGCACCAGCACCCCCACCACCACTACAGGCACCAGTAGTGCCGCTTTCCTGCCTGCCATGTCCGGCTGTGTCTCCTCACTGCCGTTGCTGCCCGCACTACAGAGACATTGCACAAACAGGAACGCACGCAACAGCGCCAGCAGCAGAGGCAACAGCACCAGCACCAGTACCACCAGGAGCAGCAGCATCAGCAGCATCAGCAGCAGCAGCAGCAGCAGCAGCAGCAGCAACAGCACCAGCGCCACCAGCACGATCGGTCTTCCCAGAAGCACAAGCAGCAGCAGAAGTAGTTGCAGCATCAATGGTACCATTGCAGCAGCAGGGGGCAACAGAGGCCGTTGGCTCTTTTTCAGAGCCTTGGCAGTCCAACACCCACCAAGCACCAGCAGAGCGCCACCTGCTGCGATCTCAACCGCAGTCAACGAGTCAACCGCAGTCAACGGGTCAGAAGCAGTCAGCAAGTCAGCTTCAGTTCCGTCAGACAGCTCCACACCAGTCCTCAAGCCGAGGTGAGTCGTCTCTAGCCAAATATGGGCCCCCCTGCACTGCACTCCTTTCTGTGCCGTGCCGTGCCTTGCCTTGCCTTGCCTTGCCTTGCCGTGCCTTGCCTTGCCTTGCCGTGCCTTACCTTGCCTTGCCTTGCCGTGCCTTACCTTGCCTTGCCTTGCCGTGCCTTACCTTGCCTTGCCTTGCCTTGCCTTGCCTTTCCTTTCCCTTCGTTTCCCTCTACTTTCCCATTTCTACCAGTAGCTGCCCTCCCGTCGCCCCAAGGAGTATAACACAAGGAATTCGAGATGCCTCGAGACGTACAATCCTTTCCCCGTCCCTCATTCCCTGTTCCCTCTCTTGTTTCCCCACCAGACGAACTCGCTCTGACCCTCTCCCTCACACCAAGAGGCAGCGCTCAATCCCCGCACCCTCCTCTGCTCTCTTGTACGGACCCTCGGCACCCCCCTGCACTGGCTGTTGAGTCGACTCAATATTCGCTCACCCGCAGTGACTCCCAGCAGCCCCCCGCATTGGCATTTGAGCCGACTCAAAACCTGCTCTCATGTATTAACCCTAGGCACCCCTCTGCACCGGCAAATGCACGATCGAACCCCGCTCACGCATCGACAGACGACAGAATTGGAGAAAGGGATACGAGAGGAGAGGCGGGAGGGGGAACAGGTGGGGGGAAAGGAGGGGAGACAGGGGGGAGGGCAGGTGGGGGGACTGGCGGGGGAACAGGAGGAGAGACAGGAAGAGCAGCCGGCGGAGAAGAAGAAGGAGCAAAAGCAGGAGCAGCCCCCGTTGCGGGTGGGCCTGTGGAAAGGTTGGGTCGAGAGGACGAAGGGGCCGGGACGGCAGGTGCGCAGGATGTGACGCAGCAACGGTACGAGCAGCAGATGCAGCAGCCGCAGCAGCAGCAGCAGCAGCAGCAGCAGCAGCAGCAGCAGGAGGCAAAGCAGCAGGACGAGAAAGTCGAGTTTAAGGGGGGGAGAGGAGAGCTTTCAGAGGAGAGAAGGGGTGGAAGGGAGGGCGACAGAGGGTTAGAAGAATGGCGGGGCGGAGGACAGACGGCGCAGGTAGAGGCTCTTCTGGAGAGAGGGGCAGCAGGAGGAGGAGGAGGAAGAGGAGGCGAGGCGGACTACAGAGCACCACAGCACTTGTTCGCATGCCCACACCCTGTGAAGCCACAGGAAGAAGGCATGGCACAGGAGGAAGGCACAAGGAACACAATGACCTTGCTCGAGTCACCCAGCGCACGTACTACTAGCCCTCAAGAGGATGCAAGCCGCTTATCCGAGCCCGCTCCAGCCGCCTCTAGAATGGCAGAGAGAGACAGAGACAGAGACAGGGAGAGGGAGGGGGAGGGGGAGAAACAGAGAAGGGTCTTCTTTCCTGCTGTTCATATGGACACACGGAGCGTTACCGAGCCTGCAGCTACGCAGATCGCTTTTGAGTCGACTCAAAAGCCTGCAGCTATGCAGATCGACTCACGGAGCGTTACCGAGCCTCTTCCTCGGCCCGTGGGCTCTAGAAGTCTGTCTCCTGGCGGCCTGTCGCTGTCTCTCAGCCGCTCTGCCTCCTCCCCTATCTCCCTCTCTTCGTCTCCCGTCCGCACGTTGCCTAAGGGCACTCCGCCGACTGCCGAGGGGCCGTTGCTTGGGGCAAGGGCACGGGCAAGGGCAAGGGAAGTGGCAGAGGGAGTGGGAGCGGGAGGGGTGCCCATGCTTGGTTATGCTACAACTGCCACAGCAGCAGCAGCAGCAGCAGCAACAACAGCTGCAGCAGCAGGATCTGTGGTGGTGGCAGCAGCAGCAGCAGAGCGCGCATCGGCAGCAGCAGCAGCAACGTGTGGGCAGCCGCAAGAACAGCTACAGTCACAACCACAAACACAGCCACAACCGCAACTGCAAGCACAACCACCACCACCAGCAGCAGCACCAGCAGCACTATCACCAGCGCTAATGCGTGTGGGAACACCGCTGCTAGTCCTCCCCACGAGCTCCTCCCTCTCCTCAAGATCACCCAGCAGACCCATGCTGGTTTCACCCAGCAGATCCATGCAGCCAAAGGCACTGCTGTCCATGGCGCCAGTCCTCCCCCCTGCAACACACGCGGCTGGGGCAGTGCCTGTTTTTCAGGCGGCTCAAGAACACCCTCCTGCAGCCCACGCGATTGGGGCAGTACCAAGTGCCATTGAAGTTAGAGGTGCAGAAAGGGGAGGAGAGAGGGGAGGCGAGGGAGGAGGAAAACGAGGGGATGAGAGAGGAGTAGAGGGAAGAGAGGGGAAAGGGGTTTACTGGAGTGGAGTTGGAAGAGAGGGGAAGGGTGTGCATTCGGAAGGAGAGGGGAGAAAGGCGTCTTGGGAGCCTGGCCCACCGTCCCCTGCTGCTGCTGCTGCTGCGTCTACTCCTGCTGCTGCTAGTAGTGGTGGTGGCTGGGTGGGGGAAGGAGCTGGGAGACTAGCGGTGCATGGCGGTGGCAACTCGTTCGTGTATGCTGCAGCTGGTGGGAATGCGGTGGGGCAGGGGCATGGTGCAATGAGTGCGGTGGGCCATGGAGTTATTGGTCCAGTGGCGCATGGGAGTGGGAGTGCCCCGTCGCGTGTGCGAGTCCTGTGCTCAAGCTACGCAGGGCAGCAGATCGGTGCGTTGCTGATTGCTTGCTTGCAATTGCAATGGCTGTGATAGGAGTCAAATTTTGAGGCGCCTCAAAACTTGCGCTCGAGCTATCGGTGCATTGCTAATTGGTAACAAACACCTGCTGTCTGCTCTCTCGCGCGATCAAGTCACATGCTTCTTTTGAACTAGCACACACACGCACGCACTCATGCACACGCACACACACGCATGCACGCACACACGCATGCACGCACACACGCATGCACGCACACACGCATGCACGCACACACGCATGCACGCACACACGCATGCACGCACACACGCATGCACGCACACACGCGTGCACGCACACACGCATGCACGCACACGCACGCACGCACGCACACGCACACACACATGCACACGCACACACACACACACACACGCACACACACACACACACACACACCCGCCCCACCTCAAATAGTTTTTAAAAGGGGGGGGTTCTCATCTCCCTCCCCTTCCCCCCCACCACCTTTTCACCCCTGTTACTCCCCCTCCCCCTCTCCCGCCCCGCCCCCCTCCTTCAGCCTCACCCCTTCAACCCTGTGACTCCGCACAGAGGGGGAGTTACAGGAGACGGACGTAGGGCGCTGGGTGATTCGCTGCGACTGCCATGGCTCCCCTCCCAGTGGTGTCTTAACCCTCCCTCTTCTCTTCCGCCCCCAACCCCCTCACCCTTGTGACTCCACACAGAGGGGGAGTTACAGGAGACAGACGGAGGGCGTTTGGTGATTCGCTGCGACTGCCACGGCTCCCAGATGTCTCTCACTCGCTTCACACAGGTACAGCCGGGGATTCAGAGCGGTGCATAGAGGTTGAGATGGATCGAGCAGGATGCAGATCGGCAAAGAGGGGGGAGGGGAGGTTCTTCGATGCGACACTTGTTTGGCCTTTCACAGTTGTCCCTTGGATGCTGCTAGTGAAACAAATCTCCCGCTGGCACGCCTGCGTCCCCTCGCATTGCGCGCCTGCTTCCCCTCTCGCATTGCGCGCCTGCTTCCCCTCTCGCATTGCGCGCCTGCTTCCCCTCTCGCATTGCGCGCCTGCTTCCCCTCTCGCATTGCGCGCCTGCTTCCCCTCTCGCATTGCGCGCCTGCTTCCCCTTCTCTTGCCGTTTGCCACCACTGCCAGCATGCCAGCAAGGAGGACCGCAGCCCCGGACTCAAATCGACTCAAGGAACCATCCCTCATGCCCTCTTCCCCTGCGGTGATTTTTCCTGCGGTGAGTCGACTCAAAAATCACCTAAAGAACCAACATCCCTCACTCCCTCTTTCCCTGCTCTTGCCACTGCCAGCATGCAGGGCGGGAGGATCGTAACCCCGGAACGACGATTTTCGTGGAAGGGAAGACCCTGGCACAGTGGCGCAAGGAGAGACGTAGCAGCCTCGCTCCCCCCTGCACCCCCCCACCTCCTCCTCCTCCTCCTGCTGCTCCTGCTCCCACTGCTCCTGCTCCTGCCCCTGCTCCTGCCCCTCCCGCCCATCCCGCACCTCCCGCCCATCCTGCCCCTGCTGCTCCTGCTGCTGCTGCTGCTGCTGTTGCTGCTCCTTCCACTCATCCACCCCACCTTACACCGCATTTTCCCCCTCCACCTCACTTCCCGCCTCCCTCGTTCCCTCTCCCTCACCTGTTCTCTCCCGCCTTACATGCCCCTAGGCAGCCCCTTACTTTCGCCCTCCCCTCCCACCCCCTCCCCTCGGACCCCCTCCTTCACTTACCTGACGTCAAGCCACCCATTACCATGGGCACTATGAGCAATACTTGCTCTACCAACCCCGCAATAGCTGCTCATACTCCTACCCGTCACTTCGCTACCACCCTCCCTGCCACCCACGCTGCCAGCCACACTGCAATACCGTTTATCTCCCTTGCTGCACCTAATGCCCCTGCTGCTCCGCACACTTCCACTGTCCCGGATGCTGCTGCTGCTGTTGCTTCTGCTGCTACTGCCGCCACTCCAGTGGTGCCCGACGACTGCTGGCCGCTCAGCCTCTCCTGCTCTCCCCGCTCCTCATAGCAACACCAGACCGCCAGGGGGGGTCCTCACTCATAGTCAAACGTCGGATATTTTTTAGGCGCCTCACAAATAGACATCAGGCACCCGATTGGTTGTTGGATCCCAAGACAGCAGCAGCAGCAGCAGCAGTTGCCGCCTTGCTGATGCTACAGTGGATGGGCTGTGCTCAACAAGAGCAACATTGACCTGTGGCCTTGGCTGCAACATTGACAGCAACAGTCTGCAGTTGCAGCAGCAATAAACGAAGGCACCAACCACCTTTCTGAAATCACCGCACCAACGGCAGCACAGGCCATACACCAGTCTCAGCCACCCCTAAAACACCATCATTCTTTCAATTCTATACCCAATCATCTATGCCTGAAGCTTAGTGCTCTCTTGTAGAGGAATCCTGAGGAGGCCCTAGCTGGCCACTCAGCAAATCTAGATATAGGTGTTATAAATGGTTCTTGCTAGTGAAGGACCAATTCCAAGCCCTGTAATGAAATTGCTGAAATAGAACAAACAGCACACACAGGCTGGTTTAAAGCCCGCAGCTAGAATAGCAGACCTGGAAACCACTTGAATATGGTGCATTGAATTTTGTCTAAGTAAAGAATGCAAGGCAGGTTTGATTTCAATGCTGACTTTTTTTTTTCCACTAAAAATCTGAGGCAAAACTACTATTTCAATTTGAGCATGCTGATTGGAGGAGCGACGGAAAATATCGCCCCGCGTTCTGTTGCGACACGATTATTTTGATGCGATCCGCGCGAAGCACTGTACATAGTCTCGCATGGAGGCCTTACGACGAGTTTGGGCGAGCGGCTTGCGAAGAGGGAATTCAGGGGCGTTTTTCAAGTGATTCTTAACGTATGATTGAAAATGTCGAGAGAAAAGAGTACAAGGGTATAAGCCTAAGTGTTGTACCCTATAAGATACAAACCTAAACAATCTATACAAATGTAAACTACATATATATATATATATATATATATATTTGACACACCCCCTAGACTGCATAGGTGCAGTTCCTGATGAGAGAAACGGCAACTCAGGGCGGCACTACCAGTCCCTATTTTTCACGAGTAAATTATTCTGATTCTCTGATTTTCATAGTTGATTTTGTGTACCACCCTTACGCCTCTGGGTAAAATTTTTAGATTATATGTTTTCTCTGATGAGCCAGGGTTTTCTTTTGTACCACCCTGAGGGGTTTACTGTAAGGAGGATACCGCCGTATTCCTATACCCCCCTGTCCACATACATGCCCCCATATCCTCGCCTTGTTCACGTAGACCGCCGAGCTGGCCCACGTCATATGTTGCCAGACCCACCCTCGCTGGCAGATACCCTTCTCTCCTATTGGACACTTGTGTATTTTTTATGCAGGTTTCGGCGCCACACCCGAGTTTACCACGTCGACTGCTGCCACACTTGAACTCGTCACACTTGTACTCGTTGTACGTGTATGTGCCTCTGATTGGCCCCTTTGTCATTTTTTGCAGCCACGCACATCGACAGGCATGCAACACAGCGGGAATATTTTCCCGCACGCGCGGGCATATGCCCTTCTCGAACGTTCAGGATGGCTCAGAAAGGCACCCAACCTTCATGTCGATGGCGCCACGGGCACCAAGAACAGGCGAGAAAAAGCCTCGTCTTCTTCACCCTGTTCTTCTCCCCCTGTATTACATCGGCAGTAGCCGCTAGTGTACCAGTTTAGCAACCCTCTCTCACATCTCGTCGAACGTGATCTATTCCGCCAGCCTCAAATCCTCTCGTCGTCCTGCCTCGCCAGCTATGGCTGGCCTGGGCGATGCCGACGATGGCGGGGAGGATGAGGATGACGCCCCACCCCCACGTAGCTCGACCCCACTCAGCGGTTTAGACTTTTTGCGTCGCACGAACGCCTCCCCAGTAGACCCTCCTCCGCTCTCGAAGTGTCGAATTACCACCCCCCCAGTAGAGCCTCTGCCGCTCCCAAATCTAAGCAGCAACAAATGGGAGCGTGAAATGGAGGAGGCGAATCTGTCGATTGACAAGTCGGCAGATCCTCCACCTCCGGATCCCGTGCTCTCGCCGCCGGCATCTGCATCAACATCGTCGGCTAAGAAGAGACGGTGGTACCAGCAGAGATATCTCCCCTTCGCGCCTCCTTCCAAGATAACGCCGCCAACAACCCCTGCCCCCGCCATTGAAGCAGAGCGACCCCTCGCACCAACGTCGGCCGAGATGAAGGCCAAAGCTTATCTTGCTGCTCAAAAGAAATATACCTCTAATTGGCATGGAAGGTTTCGTTGGCTCGCCTTGGATAAAACTGACGATGGCTCACCTTGTTTACGTTGCAGTGTGTGCATGCAGCATGGCAAGCCGACAGCCCGTTACGGTCGCGATGGGCCTGGCGGCAGGGACTTACAGATTGGCAGCATGCGGTGGCACGAGGAGAGCACCAAGCATGAGGCCTGCGTGCAGAAGCAAGCTCACCTTGACAAGGAAATCGAGAACCAGAATCGCATGGACAACTTCGCCAAGAACGACCCTGACGCCGCCCGCGTCATCAGACTTTTGCGCTCCATGCTATTCATCTGCAAGGACGATGCCCCGATTTCAATGTTCACACGTCTAATCGGTCACCTGTCGCAGGAGGGGGTGAAGGACATACCCAAGCAGACTTACGGCGCGTACATCACGAAGTAAGCGCGCTGTTTTCATATTTGTATAATCTATTGAATACAAGACTGATATCTAATCTGTTGTCTTATTGTATAGTGTTTGTCGCAGGTATGGGTTCAAGGAGATGGTGAAAGCCATGGTGGCTTTCTTGAAGGCACAGCAGATGGAGCACATCCACTCCTCCCCGTTCATCGGCATCAGCTGCGACGAGAGTACCGACCGCACCCGCGGAAAGCATCTCATCGTCTTCGGCACCTTCTTAAAGAAGCGGCGCGTCGTCACTGAGTTCTTGAACCTGCTCACCATCGACAAGTGTGATGCCGCGTCGCTCCAGTCTGTCCTGCTGGGTCACCTGGAGGGGAGTGGCATTGAGCTTCAAAAGATCGCCGGTATTAGCACCGATGGGGCGTCGGTGATGACCGGCGAGAAGAACGGGCTCGTCGCTCGTCTCCGACTGCGTATCCCGCACCTTGTCGCTTGCCATTGCATCGCACATCGGTAAGACTGCCATTGCAGTACCCTCCTGTCCATGTCTCTATGATTATCCATGCATGTTGATAACCTCACTTGTGCCTTGGTGCCATCGCAGAGAAGCGCTGGCGGTCAAAGACGCCTCCAACTCCTTCCCCGACCTGTTCATCGTCGACGTGATCATCCGAGCTTTCGGGGAAATCGTCGGTCGCTCGACTCCGTGGTATGAGAGGTTCAAGGCTCTGCAACTTGTCATCCACGACACGAACCTCGAACATCAGGGGCTCTACGCTATAAGGTGGCTTGCACGTGGTGACGCTGTGCGGCGACTCTGCAAGATTCTCGGCGCAGTCATCGTCATCTTCATCGAGTACAAGCACAAGCACGTCGCGCTGCTGAAGTCCTATAAGTTCCACTTCTGCCGTAACTTCCTCGCCGACATCCTCGCTGAGCTCAACACTCTGAACAGGTTTTTCCAGCGCCGCACGGTAAGTTGAATCGTTTTCTTTCCTGTCGTGGCTCGTTGAGTTGATTAATAACTTGGGCGTGTGTCTGGCGGGAAACAAGTTCTAACATCCGTGCCCTTTGCCCTTGCCCTCCCGCCCCGACCTTCAGGTGGACATCACGCTCGTCACCCAAGAGGTCGACCGCACTGTCACCTACATCAAGCACCGATACATCGAGTACGGGGAGTGGTTCGGCGGCGGGCTGAGCAAGCAGCTCGACAAGTTCCTCGCCCGCTACAAGGAGGGTAAGGGGTCGCTCGAGGTGCACGGCATCGCGGCAGATGGCTCTCCCTGCACGCACAAGTTCGAGCTCACCTTGTCGCGCATCTCGGGACATGCGTTCGGCGGCACTCCTTCCGACTGCGAAGACCTTTGCACGGCGTTCGCCAAGGAGACAGTGGGGTGCTTGGAGGGGCGGCTGTGGGACATGAAGCGGATGGAGGGGTCGAAGCTCTACAAGGTGGACCAGTGGCCCAAGAAGGCAGAGGTGCGGGAGCGCCGGTGCCGCAAGTGGGCTGAGCAGAACATGGCGCTGTTTGACAACAAGCTGCCAGGTCAGTGGCTTTAAAAGAGGTCGTGTTGTATGTCTTAAATATGGTTAGATGCGGTGCCTCTGTTATTTCAACACCTCCTTTTCGTGCCATTATACGCCCCTACCCCCCCCCCCCTCCCTCCTCGCCAACAGGAGTCGAACTGCGAGCGATGGAGCTGGAGCTGAAGACCTTTTGCCACATCATGAAGACCTATCGCAAGGACGACGACTTCGCCCAGGGTTTGGCCAATATGATGAAGACGAAGGACTGGTACAAGTCCTACCCGAACCTGATGCGGATGTGGCAGGCGCTGGCGGTGTTGCCCTTGAGCACCGTCGAGAGCGAGCGCGGATTCTCACGGCAGAATGTCATCAAGGGATGGCATCGCACAAGCCTGTGCGATGCCACCCTTGGTGACTTGATGACCATCAGCATGCTGGACTACGACATGGACTACCCCCAGATCGTAGAGAAGTGGAGGCGCATTAGGCACCATAGGCAAGCTAGGAATGTTGAATTTGAGCAGGAAATTCCCCTCTTCCCACAGCAGAAGGATGTCGCAGAGAGCTCGGACTATGAGAGTGTCGGAGGTGGAAGTGAGGATGACAAGGAGGATGATGATGATGAGTTAGTCATGTAATATTGTGCTATGCTTTATTGCGAAAAAAAACTATTGCTGTCACTATTTTACTCTGTGCAACTAGCACTTTCACCAGAGCTGGAAAAAATACCACCCTGACTAGCCAGAGTAAAAAAAATAAAATTATGGGGTTACTCTGATGCCTCAGGGAAAATGTTGAGGACCACCCTAGTTTTCAGAGTAATGGTGAAAGAAGCTTCCAGATTTCAGAGTAGTGAAAAAACAAAGATCAGCACTGGGCACTACTAGTCCAGCCACTGGGAGAGGCCACACAAGGCTAGTCAAGAATTAAAAAAAAAATAAAGGTCAATTCATAGTCAAGGCCCTAGAAGGTGAGAGGTAACAGGAACAAGGCCTAGCTGTACACAGTGCCGCTGATACTCTTTAGGCGCAAGGGCCTTCGTAAAGATATCAGCTGTGTTGGCACCGGAAACCAAGTGTACTACGCGAGCCTGGCGACGCTGCTGCAGCTCGCGCAGGAGGAAGTACCGCACATGGATGTGCTTTGCTCTGCCCTCAAGTCGAGGCTCCTGACACAGGAGGATCATGGCCCTGTTGTCAGCGTATAGGACTGGTGCAGAGCTAGGCCGCTCACCAAAAACAGTGAGCAAGAAGGTCAGCCAGCGTAGCACCTGTGCCGCCATGGCACCGGCATAGATCTCGGCCTCACAGCTGGACTGGGTAATAGACGAGGA